AAAAAAAAAAAACCTCAGTAAATAATTACTGATGTTTTTTAGCAGATAACAGATAGTCTTTAGGAGACTTTCTTTGGTTTTTTTCAGTTGCCTATTATTAGTGTTCTTCAAATGTTATCCGTTGGACCAACAAACGGAATTGACTGATAGACTTGTAAGAAAAAAAAAAAAATTAGCAATTACCGTCAGGTATTTCCGTTGTGTGTTTATTTTGTGGCTTCCGTATACTGTTTTGTTCGTTTTTCATATAAAATATGATCTTATCAACGATTACTGTAGTTGAAAAAGAACAAAAAAAAAGGAAGGATTAAATTATATTTGATATCCTATGTTGAAGGAGAAAATAATAATAGTTTTTTTAGAATTCGAATAATTTGGTCAAAAAAAAAGAGCAACGAATTGAACTGTTGAATGTTTGTTAAACCGTTCGTTTTTCCTCAATTCTTTGCCAACGCCGTCTTTTGCAGTTTGTTGCCTTTTCCTTTTCCTTTTTTCTCTTTGCAACTACTTCAAAAACCTTCTGTCGATACTGTCTCGACAAATATCCCACAACATTATATGTTGTTATTTAGTAGGAAGAAGAAGAAGAAGAAGAAGAAGAAAAGAAAACGATAAGTTCTCTTTTCTCGCAGTTTTTTTTTTGGCTGCAAATTGTCAGCGTTTTAATCCAATGCCTTCTGATTACCAGTCAACAGTCCATTTTTTTTTCAATTCTGTCATTTTTCTGGCCGACAATGTAATTTCTATTGTTTTTATATTGAGTTTTTTTTTTTGTTGTTGTTGTTGTTCTGTTACTCTTCAAAATTTTTATGAGTATCGCGCAAAAAAAAAAAGGAAGAAGTATCGTAAATTTTTTATGATTGACAGAAAAAAAATTTTTGTTTTTTTTTTGAATTTGCTACAGCGCACAAAAATTTTTATGACATTTTATTTGAAACAATCATTGAGAATTATTTTTTTGGCTAAAACTGTCAACAAAATTTTACGCATAAAACAAAAAATCTTCTCCCACAATTGTAAAATTTTTTCTTTTATTTTTTGTTCTCTTTTTCTTATGATCAACATTATCCATCTGGACGACGATGGTGATGATGATGATTGTTGTCGTTGTTGTTGTTGTTGTTGTTGTTATGTCGATGACGATGATGGTTACAGATATTGTCGTTGTTGTTGTTGTTGTTGTTGTTGTTTTTGCCGGTTACCAGCAATAGCACCAGCTGTTGTTCTCCTTAAGTATTCGTCTGTTTTTCGCTGTCGTTGACAATTTGCTTAGCTGTCTATTTTTTTTTTTTTTCTACTAATTATATCCTCGATATTCATTGTTTTTGTATTTTTTCAATTTTTTCTTTCCCCCCCGTTTAATAAATGAGCGATGAGTAGAAAGCGCAGAAAATAGGCATATTCTTTTTTTTGTTGTTGTTGTTAAGGCACTAAATCAAAAACATTGTAGTTGGCGGTCATCAATTTGAGTGTAAACAATCAAATTCAATCATCACTAATTGTAACTTATTTTCTTCTGTATTGTTTGTTTCTTCCTTTTTGTTATTTCTTTTTACAACTGTAAAAAAAATTTTTTTTTTCACTGATGAAATTATCATTGGATGAAAAAAAAAAATGATATATTAAATATCAGTACGTAAAAAGTACCACTATCGTTATCTTCATTTAACCGTCAAATGAAATTCTGTTGTTGGTTGCTGATTAACT